CTTTCTAACAATAGTATGGATGAAGCCCCAGATTTCATCTGAATTTTGGCTGCTTCAAACACAGGCAAATCTTTGTTCAGACTCGACAAGTCTGAGGTCATGAGGAAGCAAGGTGGCCCCTGGAGTTGAGCTCCTGGGCTCCAGGAACTTCATTTTCATGGATGCATTTCCTTGGCCCAGATGACTTCATCTCCTTGCAGGAGAGAAATGGTGGCTGCTACAGTCCAACCTGGTGCTCCAGCTGCCTCCCTCTCCCAATTACTAATAAACCAGAGTGATGTTCTGCAAGGAATGTCCTGGCTCTGAAATATGGTCCTCTCCACCCAATAAAAATAGTAAGAAGAGCTCTCATGAGCAATTACCTTATTAAATGGCACCCAAGAGTAGCCATAGGTTATTCTCAGGCATTACCAGCACGATCCATATTGATCAGTTGGGGACTGAATAAAACCAGCGGGCCTCTGTAGAGGGCGTGGAAGGAATGCAGGACCGCAGCAGGTCAACCGCAGCAGTCCTCTTCTCTGACAGAAGCAAATTAATTGATTCTCTCGGGCCAACGGTTGCAGCAGCGATAGATCATTGTGTAATCAAGGGGAGCCTGGACAGGGAGCCCCTGGGGAAGGAAGAGGTAAAGGCACCGTGATTTCTCAAAGATGCGCCAGGACCTTTCAGACTTGGCACTGTTCAGGGGGAACCTGGTGGTGCTGTCTAGCATCCTAGCATCAACAGGTATCCATGTTCTCTTGGATCAGAGCAGAAGACCTGTTAGTCAGCAGCGCCCTGCAAAATCCATCCCGCTACCCACGAGTGAGGTCCGTCTGCAGCAGCTCTCCAGAGCGTGCAGCGATAGGCAGCTTTGACCAGGAGGCTTGGTTCCTGGCCAGCGTAGCTCACGCTGCTGGTAGTACCCCGTGCCATGAATGCATCTAAGTCTCTTCGCTCCCCTGCTGGATTGCGCCTAGGCCAGCTGTAACAATCTTCCACCCGCTGCTCCCACGTCCAGCATGTAAAAAGCAAACAACAACCAAGCCAACGCTAAAATCTACTATTAAATCTTGCGAGGATTCTGACACCAGCTATCTCCTTCTGCCAAGATCCGTCTTTGCCACGTGGCCAATCCTGGCAGGAGGAATGCCAGTGAGGCAGAAATGGAGGCCTCCCCAGCAGAAGCACTCTGATCGGTCAAGAGCAGAGAAGGAGCAGTTGGGAAGCTCTGACGATTAATAAAAAAAGATGTCTTTGGCCAAGGCTGTAGTTTTTGCCCCTCCTTCTCCCTGGCACTGGGGTCTTTGTGAAAGACTCCATTGATTTTGTAAAGCACGCAAGCAGAAGCGCTGCATTGCCCTGAAAGGGCAAGGTTGAATGGGATGTCTACACCAGCAGGGGGGTGTCGGTAACCTGCAGGTCATCTAGGATTGGGAGGCAGAGGTGGAGAGAATCATGGTTTGTTTGGCTTTTAAATCAAGTCGCCTTTGCTTTCCCCACCCCAAACCTCCCACCGTCCAAACGCACTGATCCGCAACTCCTGTGTGCTCCTGTTGATACGGCTGGGGGTGTGAGTTTGGTACATCCCGAAAGTTCCGGGGTATATGTGGTGGGTGGGAGGAACAACATGAGGATGATGGGAATTGTTGTCCCACACATCTGAAGTAGCAAAATGAAGAAGGCTGCGTTACCAACTTACAGTGGCTGTCCAGAACCGCCATCAGCGATTTTCTTCCTGTGGCATGTAATGCTTATGCCAAAACCCCTGTGCTCTGCCTGAAGACTGGCTTCGTTTTTTAAAATTTGCTGGGCCTCAGCCATCTCAGCTCTTTGAGCAGGACTTCCGAAGAGAGAGCAGTCGATCAGGAAGGACCCTGTTACGCTCTATGATAGGGTAACGTCCGCTTTTATTTCATTTTGGCGTTCATTCTCAGCCTGCCACACCCAACTTCCATGGCCTGTGACAACCTTTCGTACCGTGTCCCCCCTGCTTTCCTGATCATTTGTGAGCAACTTCTGTAGATGCTGAATAGACTTTAAATTGTCTTGGAGGGACCCAACCCCATTTTATTGTCTAATTATGAACCAAACCAAGAGCGCGGAAAGATGAATCTGTAGTTAAGACAACCCAGGTGAACAGCTGCTTCTAACGTACAATGGAGTGTAAAATTAATTGTTTTCTCTTCAAAGCTGACTCCTGGCTACAGTTTTGCTTAGCTGATACGAAATGGTGGCCACCAATCCTTAAAGGGCTTTAAAAGAGGATTGGCCTAATTAACGGAGGAAGTTAAGGTTAGTCGTGATTACCTCTCGTGACAGCTAGGCTTTAATTCCTCTGGAATACCAGTTGTTGGAGAAGAAAATAGGATGCCACTGCTGTGGTTCTCTCTGGGGAGAAAAGTCCTTCCAGGAGAAGGATGCTGAGCAAGATAAATCTCTGAGCTGAGATCTCACCCAAACGTTTGGGCCCAGGATACAGGAGAAGTATCCCCATGAAAAGCCAAGGACAAATCCCGTATGGGTGAAGGTGTGTTAGTTAGGCTGCACTCACAACCAGAATCCCTCAAGGGAACCACAGATGGGCCTACCATGGATCCTGAGATGGGTTCCGAAAGTTGAAAAGCCTTCAGCCTGACCAGTTCGGTTGGTGGGACAATATCTGTCCTGGATCCTGCTCCTGCCACCTTGGATTGCGTCTGGCAGTTCAGCTGGGTCCTCGCTGTCCTTTCGGTATGCCCCCAGCCCAGCACTTTCTCTGCTGCTGCTGCTGCTGGGCCCTCCCCATCCCTTGGCCAACAGGACCCAGGTTCTGCTGATGTTCAGCTCTACCAGTCCCTAGGCAGGAACAGTTGGTGCCCAGCTGCCATTGAACAGTCACCGAGTGGGTCAGAACCTGAGGCACGCTGAAAGCAAGCTTTCTTGCTAGTGGGCAGTTTGGCCTCCCTTTAGGACAGTGTTGTCCAAACGTGGCCACTTTAAGATGAGTGGACTTCAACTCCCAGAATT